CTCTTTTACTATGAATTTTGTAAACTTTTAGTTTCACTGGTGACAGCAGTGAATTTCTCACCCGATTACTGATATCATATTTCCGAATAACGAAAACAAAAAAAACTTGCGTTTTTATTTTGTTCATTTTTGCAAAATACGGTAAATAACGCTCACTATGACTAGTAAAACCCTATCTCAAATGAACAGTCGTGAATTATTGCGCTTATAGGCAGTTAAACGGCTCCACGACAAAAAGCAATCTGCTGGTAGTATTGGAGAATAGTTTACTCAGTGACGCATCGAACGCAACCCTGCCCGAACGCCCGCCGCTTGATTAAGAGACGCTCGCTAGGGAACGCGAGTCCCTGCTAGATGAAGTCCCCGCGCTATGCCGGACCGTCGACCCACCCATAAATATGGATCAACCGGTTAACTTGGCGCTAGAGGACTCCGAAGCTGAATCGCAACACGAATGGTCTCAGGAAACCGGCCGCCCTAACGGCAGTTTGAACGCAGCATATACAGATGACTTATATACAGTGCATCAACATACCACGCAACGAAGGAGATAGGTGCGTTAAAGCAAAGTTTACGCGATATATCTCTGACCACACGTATGGAAGCGCTATGAAGTAGAGAGAGCACTGTCGTGCATTATGCAGGAAATTTGGTCCCTCTCACAGACGATTATAAGCCACGACACGAACAACGAGATCATACGGAATCCGTTCACCACCACACAGATGACGCGAGAAACGGTAATAACAAACCGTACTGTTTAAGCACGTCCGTCCGAACCAAATCGCGTAACTTTCGGGCCGAGCAACACGACTCTACAACAACGCCCGACTAAAATCGAACAGCGCGAAGCGTTTAATCTACATCGATTAGCCAGTCAGACTACGCGCGCGTCACCATCGCTACTTCGAGCGAACACATTTACGCTATCGATACGCGATCTGTCTCCATTTTCATTAACTCGTTCGCATACACACATGGCGACCGTAGCATTCAATAATCTACCCCTTGTACGGCCCTTTTCTCCTGAGTTAACAGGAAAATACTAGGAAGAACCACTCGAATTTTTGGAACAGGTAGAAAGTCTACTGGCCCAAGTGAGCATAGATCACGAACTATAGGTAAAGACGAGCGTAAAATTTTTAAAGAAAATGGCGACAACTTGGTGGTAAACCATCAAGTTAAGTAACATGTCCTGGCGACAAATTGCAAGGGAGTTTTTAATGACGTTCGACAATAACAGCATATAAGCTGAATTGGAGATCGAGTTAATGACGATACAACAGAGACACAATCAGCGTATGACCAAGTTTATTATCGATAAACAATGGCTTGCAATGGGCGGTCGTCCTACTTGTGCCTAGCAACAGATAGTAGATCGAATTGTCAGTCTTTTGCATAACGAATATTATGGTAATGTACGAATGCGATGTCCGCGTACTTTAGATGACTTACGCGTAATCGCGAACAAACTCAATCGACCCCATACGATTCGGTAGGCTAATTAATAACGCTAATCCATACGTAGTGACTATCTCTCCCTCACAACTGTCACAGGGAACGCGACCGTGGCCAAATGCACTGCCCGACTCGCACCCACTCCAACCATGTCGATTTTGCGGAGTCGGTCATTGACATAATGCATGTCCTAATAGACTGACAGTGCCGGGAAACAGACAGCAGCCACGGAGAAACTAGTCCCTTCTCCGGGCTTTCAAACACAAGTCCGCCCAAAGCATTATTTAAATAATCAGCGCGCCGACCAAACCGAACGTTCAATCGACAACGGTAACAAAAATGGATGCGCTTTCTACGATCAGGGTGACAATATTTTAAATAACTTTAAAAACAACCACACCTCTCCACCACCACACCCCTCAACCACAATGAGGACCATAAGGTTATTCAAAATACTTGTCACAATATCATAGATACAGTAGGTAACGATTATAGTGCGAGTCGGGCCAACGATTTGTTGGTCACCGTCGAGGAGGGGAATACGGCAGGAATGGCCTAACCACTCATGGCAATTAATACCACCGGCAAACACACCGTTACAATGCCCCCCGTTCGAACCGCTAACCATTTGAGTACTGCCACACAATCACGTCCGCGTAAAATTACTACTTCAGCCGTGGAGCTGGAATTTGACAACCCTACTTGACTCATAGGCGCAAAAATCATATACTACTTGAGCAATAGCCCACAAATTCGGAATTGTGCACAACGGACAAACACTTCCGGTTAGGTTAGCTGACGGTCACACAACAGACGCGATCAGCACAGCTACCTTTATAACAAAAATTGCGGATCTACAAGTAGAGTTCGCGGCTATTATCTTAGAGAATCTGTACTGTGACGTACTCCTGGAACACGACTTTCTAACAAAACAGGAAGTCTTCGGTTCCAGGAGTGTCGGATACTCCAGGACCAGTAGGGGAGAATGCTGTTGCAGGCTCAACCCGGTCGTCATCCAGTACTGGTGGCCCCCGCTCTACTGTCAACACCAGTTATGTCAACTCTAGAGATGGAATTAGAGGATTATGGCCTGGTACAAGAGATGGACTTGTTCCTCTCCTGCCCACCTCAACAGAACATCAGGAGCCCCCGACCGAGTAAGCTCTCCCACTCCTTTATATAATGCACGTTATGCGCGGGGACTATGTCTACACCCTTCAACTCGCATTACGCGGATCATAACCACCCACACCATCAAACATACAACGTAAGAATTACAGCTTTTTATTGCTATAAGCGACATTAATATATTTGACTTAAGTACCGAACGCCATATAAGTGATTGGCCTTTAAAATGGAACGGCAGCTTGGTGGGGAGGTATTAGACACGGCCATGGCGTTGTCACCCGTTTGTCATCCCGCGGTCGTGACAGTTCCTTCTCAGCAACCGCTCCGCTGTAAACCAGACCGTTACACACACGCGTATTCGTCGTATTGTAAAGTCTAACAAATGCCTAGCGTCGAATACCCGTCGCAATAATACGTTAAAATACTTGTTAATACCAGCCTAGAGCAGAGCGCGATGAAGTGTCAAGTTTTAAATAGTCGCGCGACCAGTTTGGATGCTTTAATATGGATTGGATATGTATGATAATTAAGAAAAAAAATAGGGCTCTTTTAATAGTATTTAGAATATATTTAATTTTAAATAAATATCTTTCTAAAAGCATAAAAAATACTTTAAATACGTTGAGAGGTGACGATTTGGGCCACGCAACGGATTGTGGAGTCGCCACCTTCATGGCTCCCTTGCAAAAGGAAAATCGGGTCGCCAACCACTTAGGCGAGGGTCTTGATCATAAAAAAAAAACAATACCCGGACCATAAGTGGATTTAAAAAAAATAAACAATAAGTAAAGCAATAATATTAAATGAAATAATATACACTATGGTGAAACAAAGTGGATCGTCGAATAAAAAAATTATATATATATATATATATACTAAAATATAAAGTTTTGTTGTAAACAATAATACACTGATACCTTGTAAATATAACAAAATATGTTTGATGTCACTAGTGGTGGACATACTTTAGTATGTCGAAGACCGTTACCTTAAAACTAGAGAGAATTATTTAAAGGTAAAAAAAAATAAGATACACGTGAATATTGAAGATATTCACGCAATAAAAAGATTTTTGTTGATTAAAAAAATTAAGGGGACTTTATTAAATTATTACAGTTAAGTTAATAGTGGACAAAACCCGAAAGCAAAAACCACTCTGAAAATGAAGGGACAAAAGAGAAAAAAAACAAAAAAAATTTTAACCAACAACTTTTAAACATTACACCTGAAGTATCTTCCGCATCGGAACAAGTCCGTGTACTCCGGGCGCGTCGAATAATTTTTGTAATCGAGCCGGCCGGACCGTACTTGGGCACTGCGCGAATAATATACATATATATGTATTAAATATACATGACACACCACTGACCAATAACCTTGTATTTATTAATTATAGCTAAATATATATATATATATACCTCATAAAAGAATAAAAAAATAAACAGAAAAGGCTCAAAACAATATATTAAATAAAAAAAACAATATGATACCCAGTTCCCGATGGGACTCATCTTAAGATAGGGATCTCGGCCCCAGAAATGGCCGACGCCTTGTTGAATTAATACATAATTTTAAAACGACACACACGAAAAAAAATTTATGTTGGCTGTACGCACAGAGCAACATAATACCACAACGGTGGTTCAAAGGGAAGAGAATCAATTTTTGATACACAACAACGACGACGATTACGTTTGGGAGAGGATATCGGCTTAACAATTTACAAAATATAATAAAAAAGATAAAAGTATGAACAATATTAAAATTATACAGGTATTGACAGTGGTGGCCAGTGTATGTGTCATATAGGGAACGATTATTAAACTGATAAAGAATATTGTGTGTATAGCGTTCACCTTGAAAGCAACAGTACAGTTTTCTGATTACACGGCCGGTTATAACGTACGCGCGCCCATTAGCAAATCAAAACAGTAAATCTATCTATACCATAAAAATTAACATTTTGTCACGTTTCAACGTTAATACTTTAAATTAAGAAAAAGAAAAAGCATATTATTTATTTAAAATAATTATTTATTTTTATTAAATATTCTATATCGAAACTGACATATGTTACTTTTACCTGTCGCTGTTTGAGATTTTACTAAACATTATTATTATTATTATTATTATTATTATTATTAAACACGAACACTTATATAATTAAATTAATTAAAAAATAAAAATATTGTGAATTAATTATTATTATTATTGTTATTTTTTTGTAGTTACTTTCAGATACAATGAACATATTCAATAAATTAATTACAGTTAGCATTTTCAAAAGTAATTAGCCATAAATAATTATAATAAAAATTTGTATATTTCAACAGAATATTAATTAGGACAACCATTTTTAGTAGCATAGTTGATTATATCTGTATATCCATTTCGAGTAGCTTCAGAAATAGTACCGCTACTCCAAGAACAATTATTTTCATAAGCATATTTTAAGCAACGAAATTGACCATTTGCAGCAGCAAGTCTAGTTGTGCCTTCGTCCCACTCACAATCATTTTCATACACATATTTTAGGCAGTTTAAATTTCCATTTGCAGCAGCTCCACTCATAGTTCCTTCATCCCATTTACACCCATTACTATGTGCAAATATCAAACAGTTAATATGATTATTCGCAGCTGCTTCCCTTGTTGTGCCTTCGTCCCACATACACCCATTTTCATGAGCAAATTTTAGGCAGTTTAAATGTCCATTTGCTGCAGCCCCTCTCATTGTACCTTCCACCCAATCACATCCATGTTTTCGAGCATATATTAAACAATCTAAATTCCCATGCAATGCTGCTGCTACTATTGTATCTCTGTCAAAGTTACATCCCTTTTCATGAGCATACATCAAGAAGTCCAAACAGTCACTAGCTGCAGCAACTCGAGTTGTGTCTTCATACCATTTACAACCATTTTCAAAAGCATATTTTAAACATTCTAAATTACCGCTAAAAACAGCTGCTTCTGTTGTGTTTTCATCCCACGGACATTCATTTTCATATGCATATTTTAATATCTTTAAATCACCTCTTCTGGCAGCCGCAATAGTTGTACGTTTATCCCATTTACAGCCATTTTCATAAGCGTATTTTAAACATTCTAAATTACCGCTTAAAGTAGCTGCTTCTGTTGTGCTTTCATCCCAAGGACAATTATTTTTATGTGCATATATTAATATTTTTAAATCACCTATTCTGGCAGCCGCAATAGTTGTACGTTTATCCCATTTACAGCCATTTTCATAAGCGTATTTTAAACATTCTAAATTACCGCTTAAAGTAGCTGCTTCTGTTGTGCTTTCATCCCAAGGACAATTATTTTTATGTGCATATATTAATATTTTTAAATCACCTATTCTGGCAGCCGCAATAGTTGTACGTTTATCCCATTTACAGCCATTTTCATAAGCGTATTTTAAACATTCTAAATTACCGCTTAAAGTAGCTGCTTCTGTTGTGCTTTCATCCCAAGGACAATTATTTTTATGTGCATATATTAATATTTTTAAATCACCTATTCTGGCAGCCGCAATAGTTGTACGTTTATCCCATTTACAGCCATTTTCATAAGCGTATTTTAAACATTCTAAATTACCGCTTAAAGTAGCTGCTTCTGTTGTGCTTTCATCCCAAGGACAATTATTTTTATGTGCATATATTAATATTTTTAAATCACCTATTCTGGCAGCAGCAATAGTTGTACGTTTATCCCATTTACAGCCATTTTCATAAGCGTATTTTAAACATTCTAAATTACCGCTTAAAGTAGCTGCTTCTGTTGTGCTTTCATCCCAAGGACAATTATTTTTATGTGCATATATTAATATTTTTAAATCACCTATTCTGGCAGCAGCAGTAGTTGTACGTTTATCCCATTTACAGCCATTTTCATAAGCATATTTTAAACATTCTAAATTACCTCTTAAAGCAGCTGCTTCTGTTGTGCTTTCATCCCAAGGACAATTATTTTTATGTGCATATATTAATATTTTTAAATCACCTATTCTGGCAGCAGCAGTAGTTGTACGTTTATCCCATTTACAGCCATTGTCAAAAGCATATTTTAAACATTCTAAATTACCTCTTAAAGCAGCTACTTCTGTTGTACTTTCATCCCAGGGACAATCATTTTCATGTGCATATTTCAACATTTTTAAATTACCTATTCTGGCAGCAGCAGTAGTTGTACGTATATCCCATTTACAGCCATTTTCATAAGCATATTTTAAACATTCTAAATTACCTCTTAAAGCAGCTGCTTCTGTTGTACTTTCATCCCAAGGACATTCATTTTCATGTGCATATTTTAATATTTTTAAATCACCTCTGCTAGCTGCCGCAGTAGTTGTACGTTTATCCCATTTACAGCCATTTTCATAAGCATATTTTAAACATTCTAAATTACCATATAAAGCAGATGCTTCTGTTGTGCTTTCATCCCAAGGACATTCATTTTCATGTGCATATTCTAATATTTTTAAATTACCTATCCTGGCAGCAGTAGTAGGTATACGTTCATCCCATTTACAACCATTTTCATAGGCATACTTTAAACACTCTAAATTACCTATTAAAGCAGCTGCTTCTGTTGTGCTTTCATCCCAAGGACATTCATTTTCATGTGCATATTCTAATATTTTTAAATTACCTATCCTGGCAGCAGTAGTAGGTGTACGTTCATCCCATTTACAACCATTTTCATATGCATATTTTAAACATTCTAATTTACCGCTAAAAGCAGCGGCTGCTGTTGTGCTTTCATCCCAAGCAAATTCATTTTCATGTGCATATTTTAATATTTTTAAATCACCTCTTCTGGCAGCCAGAGTAGTGTTACGTTTATTCCATTTACAACCATTTACAATAACATAATTTAAACATTCTAAATTACCACTTAAAATAGCTGCTTCTGTTGTGTTTTCATCCCAAGGACATTTATTTTTATGTGCATATTTTAATATTTTTAAATCGCCTCTTCTGGCAGCCGCAGTAGTTGTACGTTTATCCCATTTACAGCCATTTTCATAAGCATATTTTAAACATTCTAAATTACCGCTTAAAGTAGCTGCTTCTGTTGTGCTTTCATCCCAGGGACATTCATTTTCATGGGCATATTTTAACATATTTAAATCACCTTTTTTGGCAGCAGTAGTAGTTGTACGTTTATCCCATTCACAGCCATTTTCAAAAGCATATTTTAAACATTCTATACTACCGCATAAAGCAGCTGCTTCTGTTGTGTTTGCATCCCAAGGACATTTATTTTCATGTGCATATTTTAACATTTTTAAATTACCTTTTATAGCTGCCTCAGTAGTTGTATGTTTATGGCATTTACAACCATTTTTAATTGTATATTTTAAACATTCTAAATTGCCGATAGAAGCAGCGGCTGCTGTTGTCCTTTCATTCCAAGGACATCCATTTTCATGTACATATTTTAAAAGATTAATATCACCCTGAATGGTTGCCTCATAAGTTATTCTATTATCCCATGGACAGCCATTTTCATGTAAATATTTTAAATTTTTCAGATTTCTATTAAAAACAGCTGTATAAGTTGTAATTTCATTACAAGGATATCCATGTTTAAGGACATATTTTAACACTTCTAGCTTACCAGCTGCAGCCATATTAGTTGTGAATTCATTGAATTCGTATCCATTTTTGTGAACATATTTTAATATTTTTAGATTACCCTTTCTAATCGCACTTGTAGCAATATTGAATTGATTCCATTTACAGCCATTTTCATAAGCATATTTTAAACAATCTAAATGACCATTATTTGCAGCAGCTTCTGTTGTTCCTTCATCCCATTTACATCCATTTTGAAATGCATATTTTAACAATTCCAAATTTCCATTTTCTGCAGCTATTTTTGTCGTATCCTCTTTTAATTGCCATTTTTGTTCATCATTTGAATTTTTATTTTGAATTGCTAAACGAGCAAAATGTTTATTAAATTTTGCTATATTAAAAGTTTATTTTGATAACTTTATAAACTATCTAATTAAAAGAGATACATACAAATACAATTTTTATTTTTAGTGTCATCGAAAAATTAAAATTGAAACTTGACATAAAGTTTAAGTTTTTAGGTTTAGTTTATTCCCTATTTTGCGACTAGTTATAGTTATAATAAATGAATATATTGTTATTAAACAATTTTTATATATATTTTGGATAAAAAAATGTGAAGAAGATATAATTGTAGCACTTTTGCAATAAAAACTAAAAAATAATCTCTTGCACTATGTTCCCAGTGCAGAAGGCTACGGAAAACCTCTGCACTTAAATTTCCCCAGGATATACCAATATAGTTGGTATTAACCAACCTAATGGTTGTAAAAAAAAAATAGTTTATATAAATGAATATATATGGATAGTAAAATATAATTGAAGCACTTTTGTGCTTTTAAAAAACGGTAGCACAGTGGTGTCGAGGCACAGTGTAGACGAGGCGTAGATGGGACCAGTATAGATGATATCTGACAGTGATTAAAATCACTATTATAAGTAACGCTTCTATGCAAATCTGTAGATAGTGTTTCATTTAGAGAAATTGGTGGATTATTCCAAAAGCAACATCAACTCTTATTTCTTTGATTATATCTTGATTAGTAGTTCTTTAATTTTAAAATATAATATATGAATAAATACTAATTATAATTATTAAATTTAGTATGAAATTGATATTCAATAATTTAATATTATAATTTAAACGGATAAATGATAAAAATACTAAAGAAGTTATATTTTGCTTTACTTTTACATGTATAAAAATTTAAAGATTTTGATACAATAATTTTCAATAAAAACATCATAGTAAAACCAATACCTTCTCAGCTTCGCATCGAAGCTAATGTCGTAATACACTCATCACTATTACAATATGATATAACAGAGGACTGCTCTGTTTGTGCTCACAATAATTGTCGTTCATTTAATCTTTCATTTAAAAATTATTAACACTTTTATTTATATATTATATTCATAAGCTTAGAATAACATGATTGTTTTTTCTTTGAGAAAATTCATAAATTATACTTGTCAGCTCTTTTTTAACTAACTATAATAATATTATATGAACTGTCGAAATGATTTGTGTATTATTCGTATGTATTAATTTATATATTTAATGTATTAATTCATATATTTTATGCTATTTTGTATATTAATTTATATATTTTATGATGACTTGTCAATAAAATAATAACATTGCAAGAATGACACAATGATGATTGTTCGGGGATAAAATAATACTATTAGAGGACTGAGCGATGAGGGCTTGAGAGAGTCTGTCTCTAAATATTCATTGAGCTCGAACAGCTCAATGAATATTTAGAGATTAGCGCAATTCGAACAATTGCGCTCTCGACATCGATATACAAAGTTCGTAATCATCATTGTGACATTCTTACTTGTTAATTTATAAAATAAACATTTGATTTCGTGTTATTTTGTTATAACCTAATATTGTCAAAAGTTATTATTAGAACAAAGAAAAATCTTCAGGTAAGACTTTAAATCATTAAGAGTCAATACTTATATTATCTTATAATTCAATTATTTAGAATTAATAATCTGAGTATAGAACGATAAAGCAATAGATCAAATAATTATATTAATCTTTAAAATTCAATTAATTATTATTAACTAGTTCGGGCCTTATACATAATCACATTACATTGTATTCGTGTGATGGCCACCGCCTCTTCGTTGCCTAAAAGAGTTTAAAACCTAATTTGATTTCCACTGTTTATATATAACACTTCGACTGGGTATTCGTGATATGGCCACCGCCTCACATTGGAATGAAACGCCGATTTAGGCGGCCAAAAGTATCATTTCTTAAAATTTTTTTTTTTTAGCAAAACACATTAATATCATACTTAAGGGTTTTAATACAAATTTTCAATGGCCTAAGTTGATTTAGTGAAGGTGTAGAGCTATTTTAATGTTATACTTCTAAAATTTATCCGTATTTTCAATAATTTTGAGTTTATTTTTGTACATTTTTTTTATTCCTATTAAAAAAGATATCCTTTTACAAATGAAAAAGAAAAAAAAAGTTTTTTTTTTATTTTTGTGGAATTTAACAAATTTATACTTAAAAAAAAATCTAATTTTTTCGTTTTTTACTCTAGTTTGCTCGTTTAAAGAGATTAACTAAAAATTACACGTTAATCCATACATGTGGCTTGTAGAACAAGTCATCAGCTATACTATGAAAAAAAAAAATTTTGCGTTCGATAATATTTGAACTGTACATATTGCATTTACCTAGAATAAACGAGTATTTCCCTAAAAATCGTATGTTTTACAGGAATTTTACTCCATAAATAAAATTAGTCATTATTTATTATTAATTGTTATACGATTACATTGATATATAAATATGAATATTTTAGTTTTATACATATATAAAATAATTATGCCATTGATAAATTCATGTCTGAAAATGAATCATTTAATTGACTATTTAATTCATCTTCTTTATAGTTGTCATCATTTTGAGGGAATATTACTAACATCTTACCGTCTTCTGTGATGTTTTACATTTGTTGTACATTTTATAATCTTTATTGCGACTCTCTTGTGCCTCCTCAGATAAGTTGCCTAAAATAAATGTTGATATTTTTTATTGTAGTAACTATAATCTTTTGTGATATTACGTATAGAAAGTGGCGCATATTGTAATAACCCCCCCTAATTATATTATAAAGTAATAAAGAATTAAATTATATATTATTCTTCTTTTTTTTGATTCACTAAAAGTGACGCCCAACATTAGGCTTAGTTAAATTTTACTAAGGGTTTAATTTAAAAAAGCATTCACAAAATTAAAGTATTTGAATTTTTTTTAATAAAAAAATTACTGACCTTTTATTACCTTTAAAAAAAATTTTTTTGTATTGAAAATTTCGACTTAAATTTTAATAAAAATCAATTTAATAAATAAAAATAAAAAGGTTTTAGGAAAGCGTGAAGTAAAATAAAATACTAAGAAAAAAATTTTAAGAATTTATATTGTGAATATTGATAATTAAATCGAGAAAAGTATTATTTGATTGAAATAGAGAATTAAAATTAAGCTTGGTGTTAAAGGCAATTGAATTAATACTTTTAAATTAAAACATAAAAATTTTAAGTAAGATAGATAGAGAGTGAAGAATTAAAATAAAAAGTGTTAAAATTCAATTTTAAATAACATTTTCCAATTAAAATCAAATTANTAAAATTCAGTTTTAAATAACATTTTCCAATTAAAATCAAATTAAAAATATATATATATATATATTTGAATTAATAAAATAAACAAGTGATATTATTAGATAAAAAAAAAAAAAAGAGTAAAATAATGAAATATTTTATTGAGAATAAAAAATATTGAAATTGAAAAAAGTGATTGAAAAAAAAGTTAAAAGTGAAAGAATAAATTTGGGAATAAAAGATTATTAAAGAATTAAAAAAATTGAATTAAAATAAAATTGAGTATAAAAAAAACTGAAATCGAAAAAGTGAATTTAAGAAAATTTATTGAAATAAAAGAATTAAAATAAAATTGAGGATATAAATGATTGAAATTAAAAAGTGAATTAAAATAAATTATTAAAGTGAATGAATTAAAATAAAGTTGAGAATAAAAATTATTGAAATTGAAATAAAAGTTATAAGTAAAAGATTAAAATAAAATTGAGAATAAAAATTTATTTGAATTGATAAAGTTGAATTAAAAATAAAATTAAGTATAAAAAATACTGAAATTGAAAAAATGAATTAACATAAAATATTAAAGTGAAAGAATTGAAATAAAATTGAGAATAAAAAGTTATTTAAATTAAAACAAAATTGAGTATAATAAAATATTAGAATTGAAAAAGTGAATTAAAATAAAATTGAGAATAAGAAAGTATTGAAATTGAAAATAATAAATATTAGAATTACAATAATAAATTGAGAGAAAAATTAATTCGATTAAATTAAGAAAAATAAAAACTCTGAATAAAATTAATAAATTTTAAAAGTGAACTTAAATAAAATTAAAAATAAAATATTGTGTTACGGAGTGGATCAGAATTAAGAGTGTAAGAAAATTAATTAAAATATAGAGGAATTAATAAAAAAAAAGAGAAATTTTATTTTACAAAAAAAAATTAAATTAAATTAAAAATTGATAGAAGAGTGAAAAGTTAAAAGAAAAAAGTTATTTAAATAAAAACAACAAAAAAAAAAGGGAGGATAAAAAATAAAAAAAATAAGTAAAAACAAAAAATTATAAAGTAAGAGAATTATAAAAAAAAAGAGAAATCATAAGTAATGACAAAAGAAATAGAATCAATTGTTATAGAAGGTGTGCCTGAAGAGTATACAAAAACGTTAGAGTGGATAAATTCACTAAAGAAAGTCGAGCTTATTAAAGAACTTGAAGATAGAAATTTAGAAACAACTGGTATTGTATCAGACCTAAAAATAAGATTATTTTGGCATTTCTTACCAAAGAATTTAGTAGGGAATAATAATAAAAACAATACTGATCAAAATATACACACACCCAGAGTAATTAATAATTACAACATGAATAGAAATTTATTTTTTAAACCGACTACCTTTTCGGATGGTATAAATGAACGCGTAGATTCGTTTTTAAAAACATTCAATAGAGCAGCGTTAATTAATAATTGATCAGAAATTGATAAACCACAATATTTAGTAGCTTTTCTACAAGGTCCAGCCTTAACATTTTATGATAACATTGAATCTAAAAATTTACCATGGAAAGAATTAGAAATTAAGTTTAGAGAAGAATTTGAGCCTATCGCGCAGAATGATATGTTACGCATATTATTAGAGAGAAGAAAGCAGGTAGATGACGAACAAACAGGTGTTTTTATTAATGAAATTGAGGCATTATGCAAAAGAGTTGATAAAAATATG